ATTGTTATCATCATCATCCGAGCCTTATCCCAATTATTTGGGGTCGGCTACACAATCTTGTTCTGCCATTCTACCCTTAGGAAGACTATAAGTTACTACATCTTTTCTCACTACTTCCATCCATGTCCTTTTGGGCCTTTTCATTTCCTTGTTAGAGCCTTCCACTTGAACCAAAATGTAACTCCTAACCGGTGCTATACACACACATACACATGTATATAAAACACAACAGATTCGTAGAACACATGGCAAACAAGAAATAAAATTGGTGGTTTAGATGCTCAGCTTTGGACATATTATTTACAAATTAATAACCTTATAGATAAAACTAATATGGACTATATTTTATAATATTATTGTATTGAATTTAAGGGAGGGACGATAACATCCGATAAGCAAAAATAATATTTAAATAATATAATAAAGTCAATATCATGATAACTCCAATATGAAAAGAAGTAAAAGACAGAGTCTCTTAATATAATATTATATCCTTGATTCCCAGTACAACATAATAATGTAATATCTATTATATGTATTATTATAATAGCTTGGTGCCAATGTGGCGTATACCATATATCTCTCATGCTTGGTTGATACAAATACATGTTTAACATTTCTCATAATCTTGATTTTGTGTAACAAGGAACTAACAAACCCATTTACTCTCTTGAGCAAATAACAAGAGGGCTAACTTCCTTAGCTCAGCCATCAACCTACAAAAAACATAAATTGTAAAAAGATGATATGTCTTAAACCTGAGGGATGGAGTAAATATACGAAGTAATACTGTGTATCACGTCACAATGCAAACTTCCACTATGCTATTCTGTTTTGCCAAACTTACCTATATGTTTTACTAAAAGACCATATAATCCTTGGAGACTATAAAATTCTTTATTATAATACTAATAAAATGTTTCATTAATTTCATAATTTCTTTGAAAGAAGCATCTCACACAAATTAATTTTGAATTACAATTAAACATTAAATCTACTTTGAAGATTTAATAAATATCCTAATATTTTAGTTATTTTAGATATATGTTATTTCCAAACATTTATTTTAAAAACTGTAAATTTCTTATAAAATAATTTCAAACTGTCAAAATTTTAAAAACTAATTGATACATGACTTTAAAACTATAACTATAAATTAAAATTATAATTGAACAATATCATAATTAATAAACAAGAAAATCATAAATTTTATTCATAAATAAAAATATTGGTTTTTTCATGAAAGGTGTAAATAAGATCACTCACATTTTGATCTAGTTAGTCGACACTTTGGTTATCAAATTAATAGTTTTTCAATCTTAATTAACTATTTCTATAATTATAATATCAACTTATCAATCGAGTTATATGATTTCAGTTTTGAGCACATTTGACACCTAAACTCATGATGCAAGTTGAGCAAGCTGCACAACATAGTACCACTATAACATAATGCATTACAATGCTCTAAGTAGTAGTTTTCTTAAGATTGATACAAAAGACCACATCTTAAACAAAGTTGTAGCATGTAGATTAACTACACAAAGTTATCAAATCCCAAAGTTTTGGGTGACTACATAAAAAAAATGCCACTTTCCTAAAATTTTAGTTATTAAATCTAACAAAATTATAGTACAGAATAAAATTCATATGTGAATAATATCCATAGACAAAGTCAAATTTGAATTGTAAATATTTTTAGTAGTAAAGGAAGTACATAATATTTTTTTTAAAATGTTTATTTTAACTTTTTTTTTCTAATATAGCTAATCTCAATTAATAATAAGTTGTATATCAAATGTTTATCTTAAAAACTATAAATCTCTTATGACAATAATTTCAAATTTTATTAATAAGTAAGTTGAAAATTATATCCATAAATTAAAGTTTATAATTGAGCAATACTATAATTAATAAACCAAATTAAATTTACATCATAAATTTTTATTCATAAATAAAATTATTTTTTAAAAAAAGTAAACGTAAGATTACTCACATTTTCATTTATTTACTTTAGCACTTTGGTACTCAAATAAATAGGTAAGTTCCTATTAACGTTAACTTTGAATATTAATTAACTATTTTATAACTTTATGAGAACAACTACTTATGTCTTCCCCTCCCAAAAAAAAAGTCTACCTCCTCTCTCCATTACTCAATTAGAGCCTATTCCTCTTTCCGTTCCCAGAATTGGGGAAAGCGCTGAAAGTTATGACATTGATATATACGAGTCCAGGGTACCTATGCCTATGAATAACATGAACATAGAGAATGTACATGATGTGAACATCGACAGAGACCATCATGTAATATATAATCAAATTGGGACCAAATTATGAATTTGAGTGCAAAGTAAATATCTTCTGATCATGTAGATGTTTAAGTTTGTATCGTTACACAAATTCAGAGGGCAATACAACATGGTACCACTATAAACATAACTCATTGTATTGCTCTGAGCAGTAGTTTACCTAAGCTCATTACACAAGTTTGCTCTAAGTTGTTTAATGTGTATCAAATAGCTTGGCACCCACTTTCCTTATGAAACTTTGCAGCCACAACTGTCTAATCAACTACTCAATGCACTGTGTTGTGCATTTGATGTTTACAAAGAGTAGTTAGGGGAAATATGAGGTTACATATAGATTTCAGCAACATTTGTAACCTGTGTATTGCCTTGAAGAAGTAATCATAACAAACATGGAGTATTCTGGACTTCAAATCACTATTGCTAAATTTGAAGGTACAAACTATTTGGAGTGGGGTAGATATGTAAGGTTATTCCTTAGGGGTAGAAAACAATAGGGTGATATTGATGGTCGCATAGTGAAACCAAATGCAAAGAAGACATCTTATGCAGATTGGGGAGCTAATGAAATGATTGTTATAAACTAGAGTTTAAGTTCTATGCAACCAAACTTCAGCAGCACATTTATGAATTGCAATACATCATAAAAGTCACGGGACACAGTGGTTAAAGCCTACTTACAAAAGAAGAATATTGGAAAAATCTTTGAGTTCAAGCAGAAAATCATACAATTTCAAAACAAATAAGTTTTATCAGTTGGAGACTATTATGCTGCCCTACATGGCTTCTGGGATTAACTGCATCACTATTAGCCCATAAGTCGCTCTCATTTAGCAAAGCATAGATAAAGGGTAGAACAAAAGAAGACATTTAATCTTTTATGGGCCTTAATCCTGGACATGAAGCTATCAGATCTAATGTTTTGGTGGCGAAACTCCATCATCACTTGGTAAAATATTTTCTCTTCTCTGTCGTGACAAAACTCATGGGATAGTTATGGGCCGTCTATTAGTGAATCTGAAATATTTTCCCTAGTTTCAAACTTTTTCAATTGTAGTGGTGGTGGCCGTAGTGGTTGCCGAGGTGGAGGCTATAACGGTGGTCACAAATGACTCACATAGAATGGAAAGGACATGCTGAAATGTATCCATTGTGGAAAAGCCCGACATACAAAGGAAACGTGTTGGGATCTCACTGGACGCCCTAAGCGCAACACA